TACCCTACTTTCAGTTGTTGCTATGGTTTGAATGTTTCTCCCCAAAAACAAGTATTGGAAGCTTAATCCCCAGTGCAACAGTGTTAGGAGATGAAGTCTAATGAAAGGTGAAAGGCCACGTGGGCTCTGACCCCATGAAAAGATTAATGCTGTTATATCAAAAGTCAGTTCCGTATAGAAGGAGTGGGCTCCTTTTAAAAGAATGTGTTCAACCCCATTTGCCCGCTGTCTCTTTCCCCGTCTGCCATGAGCTGATATAACAAGAAGGCCCTTGCCAGATGCTGGCCCCTTGATATTGGACTTTCCAGCCTCCAGGACTACGAGAAGTATATATGTATTCATTGTAAATTACCCAGTCTCTTGTATTCTGTTTTGGCAGCACATAAAATAACTAAGACAGTCCCTCTAAACTGTGAAAATGATCTAAGATTTCTAAAAGCTAAGATTTCTGTTTCAAAACTTAAAAAAAATTATGGCTACCATACAGGAACTCCTAAACTAAGTTGGCCTCCTTTAATTTTTTTTTAAATCAAGGACTATTTTGGGAATGTGGTAGGAATACTAAGTACAAAAGAATAATATAAGCAACGCCCCAATATACTTCCTACTCAGCTTAAGAAATAAAATATTTTTAATATACTTGAAATTGCATGTGAATCACTCCAGGATCTCTTTCTACTTCTTCCTCCCCACTGGTAACCATTATACTGAATTTGGAGGTTATGATGCCCATCCGTGCATCTATACTTATACTAAATCTCTATGACTGTTTTTAAACATTCTATAAATGATACTGTACTCTGTATCCTTCTGCCACTTGCTTACTTTGCTCAACTTTTTTAAAAGTTTTTTTTAATGTTGAAACTTTTATGTAGAGAAACATCTAAGATTTACTGTAAGGTATATAAATCTGCTGGATCTAGGGGAGGCAAGTTCTCAACTTTCCTCAACAATGCCAAAATCTCTTAAGTGCGTATAGAAATTTATAGCACAACCAGCAGGCATTAGGACTCACATTTCTCTAACATCCTGGCTAACAACTGATATTGTCAGATTTATAAATTTTGGTTAATCAGAATAGAGAAAAGTGGTATAAAAATAATCTTTTTATATGTTTCAAAAGTACGTTTATTGGCCATTTGTGATTCCATTTTTGTGAATAATCTGTTCATATCCTATGCATTTTTTAAATCTCTTTTTCTTAGAGATATTTTGAGGAGTTATTTATATATACTGAATACATATACTATATTGGTTACATGCATTGTTCCCTGTCTGTGATTTCTTTGTTGATGGTATCTTTTATATTTATTCATATATTTATCATTTCTACTGCTATATGCATTTTCCTACAGATCCATTTGGTTTCATTTCCCCTCAGCCTAAAGATTTTAACATTTCTTGTAGTGAAGTTCTGCTGGCAACAAATTATCTCAGTTTTGACTTATCTAGAATTGTCTTTACTTCACTCCCATATTTTAAAGACATCATCACTGGATATAGAGTTCTTGGTTGATTGGGTTTCTTTCTTTCAGCACTTTAATGTTATTCCATTATCTTTGGCTTCCTTCTGATAAGAAGTCAGCACTCACTCTTTCCCCTGATGTATCTTCTTTCTTAGGCTGCATTTATGACATTTTTTTGTATTTCTGTTTTTCACCAATTTTACTATGATGTGCCAAGAGATAATTTTCTTTGATATTTATGCTTCTTGGGTTTTGCTGAGCTTCCTAGATCTGTGAGCTGTTTTCTATTTGGTTGTTTGTTTGTTTGAACAGATTTGGATAATATTTGACCATTAATTCTTCAAATATTATCCCTGCAATAGTATATCTCTCCTCTCCTTCTGGGACTCCAGTTAAAAGTATTTAGACCACTCAAGGCTGGGTGCGGTGGCTCACACCTGTAATCCCAGCACTTCAGGAGGCCAAGGCAGGTGGATCACCTGAGGTCAGGAGTTTGACACCGGCCTGGCCAACCTGGGGAAACCCCGACTCTACTAAAAATACAAAAAGTAGCTGGGCATGGTGGGGCATGTCTGTAGTCCCAGCTACTTCGGAGGCTGAGGCACGAGAATCGTTTGAACCCAGGAGGCAGAGGTTGCAGTGAGCTGAGATTGCGCCCCTGAACTCCAGCCTGGGCGACAGAGCAAGACTCTGTCTCCAAAAAAAAAAAAAAAAAAAAGTATTTACACCACTAAATGCCACAGGTCATTGAAACTATTAATGACTTAATCTTTTTCTTTCCTCTGCTTCAAATTTAATGATTTCTGATAACCTGTTTCCAAGTTTATTGCTCTTTTATTGTATTGTGTCCTACCTGCTGTTAATCTGATTTGATGACATTTCAACTTCAGATATTGCACTTTTCAGTTCTAGAACTCCCGTTTGGTTATTTCCAGTTTCCAAATATCTCCTATAATTCCCCATATTTTCACCCATTTTATTCATCTTTTCAAGTAGATTCTTTGATATATTTATCATTGTTATTTTTATGTCCTTGTCTGGTAATTCTAAACTCTGTTTTATCTATGGGTTTATTTCTATGACTAATTTTTTTCTTAATTATGAATCACACTTTCCTATTTCTTCATCTCTTTAGTAGTTGGGGTTTTTCTTTTTCTTTTTTATTTGTTTTTGTTTTTTAAATAAGACAAGGTCTTATTATATTGTCCAGGCAGGTCTTGAACTCCTGGGCTCAAGCCATCTTCCCACCTCAGCCTCTTGAGTAGCGGGAACAATGGGCACATGCCACCACACCCAGGTTCCTTAGTGATTTTTATGGTGTATTAAACATTTTGGATCATACGCTATAGAGAGTTTGGATTTGTTATCCTCCTCTTAAGAGTATTTAGTCTTTTTGTTTGTTTGTTTTGAGACAGTGTCTCACTCTGTCGCCTAGGTTGGAGTGCAGTGGCACGATCTCGGCTCACTGCAACCTCCACCTCCCGGGTTCACACCATTCTCCTGCCTCAGTCTCCCAAGTAGGTGGGACTACAGGCGTCCGCCACCACGCCCGGTTAATTTTTTGTATTTTTAGTAGAGACGGGGTTTCACCGTGTTAGCCAGGATGGTCTCAATCTCCTGACCTCGTGATCTGCCCACCTCGGCCTCCCAAAGTGCTGGGATTACAGGTGTGAGCCACCGTGCCCAGCCAAGAGTATTTAGTTTTTAAATAAAAGGTAAATAAATTATTGGTGGTTCACCTTGTTCACACAAAGCCTTATCCCACTCAATGTCCAGGTCCTCTGGCAGCCTCAAACTCACTCTCAGGCCAATAAGACTGTGATTTCCTGCTAGAGTTCTATCTGTCCTGCTCCCTGCAGACCAGGGAATGCCCCAAGGGAAAAGCCATTCAAATGTGGAGTTTATCCTATGTGGTGCCCGTCAGCCAAGGATGAAAACCTCTCCAGTTTCTGGCTACTTTTAGTCACTCTTCAGTGCTTTCCAACTTTTTCCAACATTTATAATTGTTATCAACAGGAAGATCAGCACAATAGAATCTACTCTGCTGTTTCCAAAAGCTATTACTTTGATAAGCAGAAGCCAGTTTTCATGCAGACCATTTTCCCAATCTTATCTCTTATGGTACATGGCGTTTTTAAGCCTTGTTTAAGAAATCTTTGCCCCAGCCAGGGCAACATGGTGACACCCTCTCTCTACCAAAAATACAAAAAATTAGCCAGGAGTGGTGGCACACACCTGTGGTCCCAGCTACTCAGGAGGCTGAGGTGGCAAGATCACTTGAGCCCAGGAGGCGAAGGTGGCAGTGGACCGAGACTGCACCACTACACTACAGCCTGAGTGATGGAGCAAGACTTTGTCTCAAAAAAAAGAAAGAAATCTTTGCTTATCCAAAAGTCATATATAATTTGTACATTTTATTCTAAAAATATTTTTCTAAAATATTTTCTCATATTTTGGTCTTTAATTCACTTAGATTTCATTTTTTGTGCATGGCTTAAAATGGGGATAAAACTTTATTTTATTTTTCCAAGCAAATAAAGAAATTTTCCCAGTACCATTACTACAGAGTCCATCCTTTCCTTTACAGCTCATGAAGCTGATTCTGTCATAAATCTGGACTCATGTACATCTCAGTCTGTTCCAGGCTGTCTCTTCTATTCCAGTGCTTTGTTTGTCTATGCCTATAGCCACACTGCAATATCTTAATCATTACAGCTTTATAATGAGTCTTGTTAACTGGTGGAGCAAGTCCTTCCACCTTGTCCTTTTCCAGAATTGCTTTGCCTATTCTCAGTCCTTTATTCTTCCAAATAAATTTTGGAATTGGTTTTTCAAATCACATGAAAACCTCTGCTGGGGGGAATTCAAATCTTTAAAATATCAACCCTTCTCATCTACAAACTCGGTATATTTTTCCTTTCATTCAGGTCTTTTAAAATGTCTTTATATAAATTTTTCTACAAAATTATATTTTATTATTTACATTAATTATTTAAAATATCTTTTTAAAATTATATTTCCTAAATTATCTTTTCATCTAATTTATCCTAAGTTACTCTACCATATTACATGAATTTTATCAAATTATTTACTAAAGTTATAAACTCTAAGATTGGCCAGGGATGGTGGCTCACACCTGTAATCCCAGGAGGCAGAGGCAGGTGGATCACCGGAAGTCAGGAATTTAAGGCCAGCCTGGCCAACAGGGTAAAACCCGTCTCTAATAAAAATACAAAAATTAGCCAGGCATAGTGGCGGGCACCTGTAATCCCATTTACTCAAGAAGCTTAGGCAGGCGAATTGCTTGAACTTGGGAGACAGAGGTTGCAGTGAGCTGAGATCACGCCATTGCACTCCAGCCTGGGCAACAGAACAAGACTCCATCTCAAAAATAAAATAAAATAAAATCTAAGGTTTAGTTCATAATACACAATCTTATGGATTATAATAACAGTTTAACACTCTCATTTGCAAATACTTTTTTATGCTATGGATTTACCAAGTAAGTAGCTCATTTATATACTATATACTTACCAAGAAGCTCCATGGTCTCTGCTTTCCGTGTCTGTGAAATTAGAGTCCAAAAACATATCTTTGTAGATTCGACCAACTAGGCAATACATATCTGAAGCAACTTGTCCTTCACTTTGCACCATGGGAATCATAATATCAAGAGCTTTTGCTCTGTCTCCAGGGAGATTTCTCCTAAGGTAGAAAATATTGTTGTTTCAATATACATTACAGAAGCAATAGAGGTCAATTCTTTTTAAAAAGCTCTATTTAACATGTTGATTCACATTAGAGAAATTTGCCAGGATAGAAACAATTAGATTTTGAGAGTCCTCTGTAAACCTCTGTCCTAGGCCTAATTTTTTGATTTATCCTATTGTATGTCTACTGGGTCTAACAAGGATTTCTTTTGAGTTTCTGTGTTGATAACGGTGATGGATTTGTACTTACTCATCCACAATCCTTCTGATTTCCCTGCAGCCTATATGCAGGTTCGAGTTGGTGAAATGAGATTAGAGCTGTAGTCTGTGGTTTTGAATAGGGCAGAGTAAGTTAATCCAAGTAGGGACAAAACCCTGACCTTAGGTTTCAATGGCTTTTGCTCCAAAACTTAGCAAACTCATTCACAGACGATACCAAAAATCAAATCAAACCCAACAACTGCTTGATTTCTACATGTGACTAACTGATTATCTAAGGAAGTTGCTTTATGTAGCCTGTTTTAAAACAGTATGTGTAGACAGTTCACAAAACCAGATAAAAACTACATAGACTTATCATTTCTTGGACCTTGAAAATATTATGCTAAGTGAAAGAGGTCAGTCACAAGGGACCACATACTGTACGATTCCACTGATACGAAATGTCCAGAATAGGCAAATCTGTAAAGACTGGAAGTAGATTCGTGGTTGCCTAGAGTTGGGGATTTGGGAGGGAAATGGAAGGGGGGCTGCTAATGGGTACAGGGTTTCCTTTTGGAGTGATGAAAATGTTTTAAAATTTATTGTTTTAATGAAATGTATTTCTTTTTTGTTTGTTTGGAGACAGAGTCTTGCTCTGTTGCCCAGGCTGGAAGGCAGTGGCATGATCTTGGCTCACTGCAACTTCTGCCTCTCAGGTTCAAGCAATTCTCCTGCCTCAGCCTCCTGAGTAGCCGGAACTACAGGCACACGCCGCCACGCCTGGTTAATTTTTTTGTATTTTAGTAGAGACGGGGTTTCACCGTGTTACCCAGGCTGGTCTCGAACTCCTGAGCTCAGGCAATCAGACCACCTTGGCCTCTCAAAGTGCTAGGATTGCAGGTGTGAGCCACCATGCCCAGCCTATGAAATATATTTCAATAAAGCTATTATAAAAAATGTATCATTTCTATTCTCAGTTACTACTCTAAATCTTCTGTCCATGAAATTCCTTTTTATCCTTTGTACTAAATATCTAACACTATGTTCACCTAGATATAACCATCCTTATTCTAGTGAAAACTTTTGTGTGAATGACCATCTGGTGATGAGTGTATTTGCTTAAAGATAACATCATATTCATGTAACTTTTACAATTCTAAAAAATATGAATAGCAAATACAAACTTTGACAGAGCAGAAAACTGTAAGAATTTAAATATATCAACAGTGTGAGACTTTTTTTACTGAAAAATAAATCAGAAAAAAATAAGAATGTGTGCTTCCTATATTTCACAGGGTTGAAGCAGATATGCTAATATTACATTTTAATAGGGACTTCCTGCAATGCTGCAGTAAACACATTCCCGGTAAAGAAATGCAGGTTACACAATAATATGTTAACGCATTCTGGAAGGGAACTTTTTCTTCTTACCTATTCAGTGCAAATGCATAATGAAACTTCACATGGTGATGGGAGGCCAAATCAAACGTTGGCAGTTTTTCTAAAGTCTCCACCAGCTTCACAATAGAATCATAGTCCTTTCAAACAAGATGAGAATAGCACAGAATTAAACCATTAGGAGAAAATTCTGACAATAACATGTCTTTTGACAACCAGGTATCTGAATTCAAGAAACGCATTAAAAAGACATTAGGATCCAGAGAACACTTTGAAGAACCTAGAATAACAGTTTTTGTTTTCCTTCTAAAGGGTTTAGATCATATATATATATATAAACATTAGAAACATAGTTACCATGTTGAACAAAAACTAAAAAAGCAAAAGAAACAAAAACACCAAGCATGATAATGCTCTGCTGTCTAAATATGGGTGGTTTATTTCTCCATAGAGCCAGATTCCTGGTATGCAGTGTTCTAGCAATTTCAGGGAAATAAAAATGTCAAGGACATGAGGCAATTGGTTGAACTTCTGTTACAAGTAGCAACACAGTTCCATGTCACATGAGTAAGCACTCTAGCCACAGGATCCTATGTGCCACAGCCCTCCATGGATATGAGTCTGTCTCAAACACATGAAGCCTTTACACAGACCTGAAAGGCTAGGAATGGAAAGAAGAAACCAGATGTCACTTAAATTTTACTATTAAAACCTAAGAGCAAATCCCTAACTTGGAGAGGATTTTATTCTACTTACCCTATTTTTAAAATTTTAAGACATGTCAATAAAAATGATATAGCCTGTTAGTGTGTTTTACATTACATATTTTTTAAAGTTATTTCTGTAAGTAATCAATTACATATTTTTTTCCTTCGGGCAAGTTAGATTCAGCACTATCAATTTCAAGCAATACAATTTCAAGGGATAAAAAGTATGTCCAGAAAGCTCTAAAAATGTCTGCTATTTGCCAAAACAAAGCTTTCACTGACAGGTGTGCCTGAGGCGAACAGTAGAATAGACTGTGTCCACAGGTTCGCTGTGCCAGCAGATTTTTCTTTTTGTTCTTTTGGAGGAAAAAGTCAGGCCTTTACCATACAAGTCTTTCACAATCACTGATGGTTAACTCACATGAGTCTTTTTCATCCATCATAAAATTATAGGATGGAAAGCTTAAGAGAGTCAATAAAAAATTACGTGTAGTAACATGAACTGCTTACCAGCAAACTGAAATTTGAGGTTAATACTCCCTTATCCCTCCAACATGCTACATGACAAAGATTTCACTTTAAACATCTTCTCACCTGGATATCTCTGTAGGAAAGTAACAGATTTATGACAATATCTGCTGTCAAGACTTCGATATTATCTACTCGCTGCCGAATTCTTGCCAACTCAGCTGCCAATTCTTTACCAGTGTATAAATTACGAGCTTTCCTGATATCATTGAGTATAGATTCCCGGAAATACTGGCTGGTAAAAACACACACATTTCAAAGAGTTTGACATTAGAAATGATTTCAATTGAAAGCAATAATTTTAATAAAGAAATGAATGATATTTGCAGCAATAGCTATAAAGCATTTGTAGCTTTCAATTCATTCAGATGCCTTTAGTAAAATATCTTACATATCTGGCATTATTAAGAAATTTAGCAGCCAGTGTATTTCTTTTAATACTCTGCCTTCAGAAAGAATTAAAGGTAAAGGTACTCCATATTAATAAATTTTCCTGCAAAAAACCACTTAAAATGCCAAAACTTTGTTTTCCATTTTACTGTTTCCAGTATAAATTGTTCTAAATAAATTAGATGTACCTATGATTTTTTGTTTGTTTGTTTTTTGTTTTTGTTTGTGAGACAGAGACTCACTCTATTGCCCAGGCCAGAGTATACTGGCATGATCCTGGCTCACTGCAACCTCCATCTCCTGGGTTCCAGCAATTATCTTGCCTCAGCCTCATGAGTAGCTGGGATTACAGGTGTGTATCACCATGCCAGGTTAATTTTTGTATTTTTGGTAGAGACAGGGTTTTGGCATGTTGGCCAGGCTGGTCTCGAACTCCTGATTTCAAGTGATCTGCCTACCTCGGCCTCCCAAAATGCTGGGATTACAGGCGTGAGCCACTGCACCAGCCATGATGTATGATTTGAACATAATACAACCTTAACTTTCTGACTCAGCTTATCATTTATTAACATAAATAATTGTTCTTCACTGAAAGAACAATTAGAGTTAAGAGTTAATTAAAGTTAAAATGTTCTTGCCCTTACACTAAAAGTCCTTGGACATTTATCCTGGTAATGTTTCTGTACTTGCTTTGTATATATTTTTAGTTCTACCATCACTATAAAGCAGTTAGTAGACTTTTTAATTTTTTGCTGATTTCAACTTGTCCTGTTGTTGTTCTGTGAATAAAATGTATTATGTGGCATCTATTTTATCTACTTGGAGGATAATAAACATTTTCCCCCTGGTTCTTAGATGTATACTAATATCTCAAGAGCACCTGATATCATGCACAAATAAAGAAGTAGAATAACACTTCATTATCATCAACAAATGGCATTATTAAACTTTACCTAGAACTTGCTTGTGCCACCTTCAAAAGTTGAATAAAACGATCCACAAGAGGTAAGCAGATGGGTCCAAGAAGCAGCTCGAAGTTCGGTTGCATGAGCTCTGTCAACCCCTTCATGAAGCTGCTGTCACAGCAGTAGACCTTGTTATGTGGCGTTATCATATAAGGAACAAAGGTGTAGTTCCCAGTGCACATCTGTGGAGAGAGGAGGCACCGGGAAGTGGGGAGCTGGCCTGGAGACACAGCACAGATGGTCCCATGTCTTACTCAGTTTCAATAATTCCAAATGCAAAGGGAAATAGAAAAGCCTCATTACTTATTTACGACTTATGACAATGAAAATTTCCCCAATTCCTTTCATTGCTCACGTCAAATAATTAGGACTTACAGATGACACCAAAAAAAGAGTGGAACAGTTTCTACATTTTCAAGGCCAGGGCACTACGTTACTGCTGTTGGAAAAAGTAGTTTAAAGCATGGCCTTCAGCCTTCAGGGAACTTATAATTTAGTCACAGGGTGCAGCATACATATATGAAAATGCTACAAGCTCACATTTGAAGGGCTTCCTACATGTAAGGTGATGCTGCAAGTAGGTCCTGCTCAAATCCACTCCCTGGGAGGCTGCTCTCTCTCTCTGTCTCCCCACTACTAAAACGACAGGCCCAGAAGTTATCCTTGATGCTTCCATTCCCTTTCCCTTCCATATCCTATCAAAGTCCTGTCTGTCCTGACTTCAAAAATATGTCATATTTGTCCATTTCCCTCCATCTTCTCGGCCAGCACTTTAGTCCATACACCAATGGACCTGGTCCAAGCCACTGTCATCAGCTTTAACTGGTCCCCCTGCTTCCACTCTTGTTCTCTAATTCACTCTCTACTCAGCCATCAGGGTGATCATTCAACACCCTCCCTCAGATCACTTCCCGCAGCTGCTTAAAGCCCCATCTCTTGCTCTTGGGAGGAAGAAGAAACTGCAATGCAATGTACAAGGGCCTGACTATGCAGATCCTGCCCCTCTCTAACCTCAGCCCTGCCACTCTCCCCTCGCCCACTACAACCTGGGCTCACTGACCTTCTCTTGGTTCCTGGATGATGCCCAAGTGAGGATAAACTGGTGCAAACAAAAGCAGAGTGGGGATGAAAGTGGAAAGTGTGTTGGATACCCTGAGTAAGCAAATATGACTAGAGCTTGGAGCTCAGGGAAGGGAAGTAAATGCAAAGTTAAGGATGTTAGACTGTACATTCTGGGAAATGGAGAATCATAGAAGGATCCACAGAGGGAAAGAAAACACAATCAGCCGAGTGTGATGGCTCACGCCTGTAATCCCAACACTTTGGGAAGCCAAGATGGGCAGATTGCTTGAAGCTAGGAGTTCAAGATCAGCCTGGCCAATATGGTGAAACCCCATCTCTACTAAAAATACAAAAATCAGCCAGGTGTGGTGGTGCACACCTGTAATCCCAGCTACTCAGGAGGCTGAGGTGAGAGAATTGCTTGCAGTGAGCCGAGATTGCACCATTGCACTCCAGGCTGGGTGACAGAGCGAGACTCTGTCAAGAAGAACAAACAAATGAACAAACGAAAGAAGGAGAGAGAGAGAGAGACAGAGAGAGAGAGAAAAGAGGGAGGGAGGAGGGAGAGATGGAGAACTGTGCATTTTCACAATGCACTATCAAAATGCACAAATCAAATGCACGAATCAAAATGCACAATCAAAACTGCATTTTGGCAGCCTGGGCAGGTAACAAGATGCATGAAAGGAAAGAGAAACAAGGTTTGAAGAGATGAGGCAGGAAGCTACACAGCATGACCAGGTCGGCAGAGGTGGCGATAGAGAAACAGACACATGCTCGACTGAAGAAGGAGGAATCAGAAGAAGGAGGAATCAGCTGGATCTGGTAACTGATAACACAACCTAAGAAAGGGTAAGGCATCAAAGGCAACTCTGCAGTCCTAAGGGGGACCGCCTATACAGAGTGGTATCATTAACAGAAAGCAAGAATTCAGAAAGCAGAACCAGACTAAGTTATCTATGAACACATGACTCTTCGAGACACTTGTATATCAGGTAATTAATCAAAGAATCTGAATTCTAGTTAAAATATGAGAAGAACTTCAAAAGGTTGAGATTTGCATTTGGTGGGATGGGGTGAAATGTTCACTTTTAAAGAGGTTGGGATTGAGGTGGGGCAAGATACCTAATGTGAAAATGTCCAAAAGAGAGCTAGTAATATGTGATTGAAACATAAAATAGTTTCAAGCCAAAATACAGACCTGAGAATTATTGGATATGGTAGAATCAAAAGAAGTGGGAGAGACCTCCATGAGAAAAATCACAGAAAAAGGCAGAGGCTGAGAACTAGAAAGAGATATGTGGGAAACCCGACTACTGCTATTACGCGGAACAAAAAAAGTCCAGGTTATCCATTCCTAGCCATATTAGCATACAGAGAATAATGCAGCATTTCTCTTACCCTTAGCACTTAAGTAATAGGTACAAACATGTATTCACCATGTGCGTGTGCCTGGGTATGGACAGTCATAAGTCAGTGGGTCACAACCTACAAAGAAGCTGCTGTGGCCTTCATGTTAAAAGTGAGGAGACAGGTAAGGCTTAGAGAGATCCTACATTTGGTCTGTGACATGTTTGGCACTCCAGCCCAGGGACCTCTTTCTCTAGAGGGCATGTCCTTCCCACTAGGGGGGTATGCACCCTCCTGAGTGGCCTTTACAGCAGACATACCTGCTCTCTAACCTTCTGTCACTTTCTGTGGGAACCCTGCATGAGCCAAATGACTGTTCACAGAAAACAGACAAGAAATGCCAAATGCCCTTATGACCAGACTTCATTATTTATGACCATATTATCCTTTAAGGCTGCTTCTTGTATGTCAGGTAATGAAGCAGAAACCAAACCTCACTTCCAGTTAAAGCACGAGAAGAACTTCCAGAGAGTGAGACTTGATTTGAAAATCAAGTATGCTAAATTGTTCCTGTCTCAGGTTCTCCTCCATGGAACAATAATTAGAAGAGGAAACAATAATTGGAAAAGGGAAAGTGAACATGTCCTGCTTCTAAAATGTTACCAAGATCCCACAGCACATCCGCCCAATTTAATCCTTTTACCCAAGCTACTGCTGAAGCAGAAAAGAAAGGCAAGGATACCAAAGAGACTGCTTTCCAAAGCATCTAAAGCTTCAACTATGAGAATTGTTCTAAAAGAACGACAGAATCAAACACTATTGCAGATAAGCACCATAACTCAAAATTATGAACGAAAATTATCTGAATCCTCCAAGCCACAAAATGAGAACAAAGAGCCAAAAAGCCAATAAAGCAGAAAAGTGGTATCAGAGTTTAAGCTGCTGGATAAAATTATGTATCCTCAGAAGCCTTAATACTACATACATTAGTTTATCAGACATTATTATTGAAATACGGGCAATGGGGAATACTGCACCTGTGTAAAACTAATTCTGGGGGAGAATGACTCTCAGATGTCTGGGTGTGTGTTAGGCAGAGGAGAGGTAAAGGGGTAATAACGAGTACGCAAACAGCAGAGAAAAGCAGTTGCTGAAACAAACCCCATGGTATAAGGCTTCAGAATCTTTGCTGAAAATACCTAAGCATGCTAAGGGTTTTCCCAAGTTCTAGGCTTCAATGCATTCTTTGGAGTTTCTTTCCCATGTTTCTAAGGCAATCATTTTCTTTTTCAAATTCCCATTGCCAATGTCAGGAAACAAGGCGGGTGATAAGCTACAGAAGCCACATGGTTACAACTGGGCCTGAGCTAAGAGACAGCCCAGTGAGTGTGCAGTGGGGGGAAAAGCTGTGTGACACTGTGTTTTTCAAAAAGATATAACTGCTCAGAAAAGCACTTTTGCAAAATGATGAAAACTAATAGTATGGGAACATTTATTTCCCAAGTTGGCTCACATGTAACTTAGAAATGTTATTTCTGTATTTGCTGTGTGCAGACTGCCACCAAACCCATAGCATGAAATAGCTGATAACCCAAAGTAAGTAACAACAACTCCGATGTGATCAAGAATAGACACCTGAAGTGGAACAATTGCCTTTTATTAATAAAGTACTCAATCTAAAATATTTAAACTTGCTTCAAAGACCTTGTTTCCTTAAATTTCAAAACACTGAGGCATGGTCGTAAAATGACAACACAAGCTATAAAATCCCACAGCTCAAAATCTAGTCTTATTCTAATTCATAATTCATTTTTGTTGTCGTTGTTGTTGTTACTCTAATTCATAATTCATTTTTGTTGTTGTTGTTGTTGTTGTTGTTGTCTCGCTCTGTTGCATAGGCTGGAGCGCAATGACATGATCTCGGTTCACTGCAGCCTGCACTTCCCGGGTACAAGTCATTCTCATGCCTCAGCCTCTCAAGTAACTGGGATTACAGGCGTGCACCACCAAACCCGGCTAATTGTTGTATTTTTAGTAGAGATGGGGTTTCACCATGTTGGCCAGACTGGTCTCGAACTCCTGGCCTCAAATGATCCACCTGCCTCGGCCTCCCAAAGTGCTGGGATTACAGGCGTGAGCCACTGCCCTGACCCCTAATTAATTTTTTTCACCGTTTAAAAAAAACCACAAAAATACTCCAATTCTGTTTTTCAATTTTTAGAAACTACATAAAGGTAAACAGAAGTGTGTGTTGAAAATGAAATGAGCTTCTGGAAAGAAAAGCTCTCAGCATTCAAATGTATTGAAATAGATGCTTGAAATATTCAGCTTTTTATAAGAACATTCAGCACCTGAAATGCAACAGCTCTCTCTCAAGTCAGGGGGCAACTTCTTCACAATGTACAATATTTGGTCTTTTTATCAACCTGCTTCCCCACAAGTCCAAGCTGGGCTAGGCAGGACGGACTTCCTTCTGCCATTCGGTCTCAGGGAGTGCTACCTTCTGTGAAAGACACTGACATAATGGCTACCCTCTCTTTAGCACATCACCTTACGTTCATTTTCTAATTTGTCTGCTTCTTTGTTTGCTGATTTTCTACCAATTAGACTGTATACACAACAGTTACACATGTGCTTGTTTCCACTTCCAGCCTCCCCCGTGAGAACCCTGAGGCACCAAGCCCAAAGCCTGGCACGCAGTGCATGTCCAATCAATATTTGTTATTAAAAAAAAAAAAAAAGAGTGTGAGATAAATTAAACAGTTTAACA